AAGCCATCACACCATGTCTAGGTGCAGTCTCGTCGTGATGGTACCAATAAGAAGAGATTGCACCTTGAAGTGATGTGAAGGCTTAAGCTCTACGGTGACTCAATGAGCTAAATAGGGTGATCTTTCGCATGTCTTAAGATCTGTTCATGCCGGTTAGATGACTAGAGAGTGGAGCCGAAGTAAGTGAAGGTAGGACAAAGACTAGTCCGCTCATCATCCCTGTCCGATGGTAACAGCATTGATAGTACTCCAGATTGGGAATTCGATCGAACTTGCCGCCTCAGTCGGTAAAGATGATGAGGGAATTTATCCACCGCCGCTACTCGCTTGGGGTTAGGTTCTTTTCAGAACTAGAACCTTTGACTACGAACCCTAATCCTTCTCTTGCTTAGTGATTGAACTCCTCTCAGTACTCGTCTATCAAGCTTCACTGTTCATAAAAAACTACGCACAATGTCGAACTGCATGAGAGCAAGCTTCTTAACGATTAGTTAAGTTCCTTTCACTCATTCCTTTTGTACATTGACGATGAGATATCATTAGAGGTGGAAACGAGTGAGTGATGAAATCTGGATAAAATCCTGATAGTTGGAATTCCGCCTCATTTACTAACGTTTGCAAAAATGGTTGGTTGATAACATATTTTGGTTTGAATATATATTTTAAGGATCAGAATTGAGCCGTTTTTTCATGGTTCCAAAACTTTTATTTCTAAGCGGGCCGGGTGGAGGCATTCTGTTATGCTGTTTGTAATGTAAACACCAACTACTGGCGGAACTGTAATCGGTTTCTGGCATTACTAGCTGTCCACGTGTTTGGTGAACACAGTGAATAATTTTGTTCACATTCAACTCGCAGTTACTTGTGAGTAGAAAAGCGCACTCGATTTTAACCATCAATCTTGCAGCCCTAATCTTTACATGTGGTGGTGGTGCAGCGGTTGATTCACTGTTACCGGCACGCTGTGAACCCCATGGTCCCAGGTTCGAGTCTACCGCCACCCAGTTTTAGCGGTAGGCAGCTTTACCGCCATCCGGTTCAAGAGCATGCCGAACCGAGAGGGACCTTATTTTATTCGCCACGCCAAGTCTCCGGGCTTAGGTTACCGGTTTCCATCACTGAATAGCAGGCCTTCGTGACTATGGGATTCACCCCGTCCGCTAGTCATCACAAAATGTGTGTAGTAAAAGAATAACATACACACATGTATGTATATAGCATGCTGGAACCTCGCAAAATTTCCCCTTCATTAGAGTTTATCCAACGTCTATTGCACTGTTAGACATGGTAATTGTGCGTGTAAAAGCAGGCGTCTTCAATTCCTGTCCATGCTTAAAAAAGTGAAAATGATAATTTATGCTCCTGTCAAAATGGCTACGGTACAAAACAGGCTTCAATCTGTATGTTTGTGTTTGTAATGATAGTTTTCCGCGATTCCCCTTCGCCTCTTTCTCAATCACATGATTCGCCTAGTTTACAGGCGACTTTAATGCAGCTCGAACTTGTCTCGTTCATATGCACTGTCTAATTTGTTTGCCAGATCTGTTATTACACTAGGGTTCACCGAGTTGCTGTTTTATTTTTCACTTCACCAAAATGTGTACATCTGTTTAGGTCATTTATCGAAATTTTTCCAAGCCCAAGAAAGTTTTTGTCGTTGTTATTGTTTCGGTTTTTGGCAAACCCACTACTAGTATACACGCACCGGTGAACCTAATCTTTTCTTATCTGTTCTTGCAAACCGTTGTGGAGAATCTCGTAAAGCAAAACAGCCACGCCTGTTGTAAGCTGACAAACGGAGTGGGTTTTTCCAAAACGGTTTGTGAAAACCGTCTTGCATGCTACATACAGACCAGTGAAACAGATGGGTAATGTAATGTACCAGTAAATTAATGAATGACCAGAAACAAGCTTTCTCAGTAAACTGTACTTTGTTATGCATCAGTTGTGCAGTTTTTGACCTCCCTCTTTATCAAGTGACTGTTCATTTTGTGCAAACTGTCACCCCTTTTGATTGTCCTCTATATTGTTACTGTCTTTGGATTTAAGCATTTATTTGCCGTGGTCTCCTGATTGCCTGTATATTCACGCACCTCTTTATCATTTCATCTATGAGATCGATAAATGAGTTGTTCCTTTTTCGAAATAAAGAACACAATCGGGCCTCAAAGTCCTGTCCCATACCATTACTGTGGTAGTTACAATTGTCAACTCGCGAAACGGACGTTTGTAACTAAGGTCATTCGCTCGTCTCTTCACCGTTTATTCTTCCTGGATCTTCTGTCTTGAGTGGAGCTACGTGCGCGTTCGATGGTTTCGGTGCTGCCTCACGCACCACGCGAAGATATTCCAGAGGCTATCAATACTATCCTGAATTTAACGGCTACGCTGTATAGCGCTCTGTTTGTGAAGCATCCTCAGGAAAAGATGAAATGTACAAACTACTACTTCCCCGAACCACAATTTCGTACCTTCCTGAGATAATCTATATGTGCTCACCGATTGTTTGACATTTTCTTCCAAATGGTGACCTCATGTGTGCGGTATGGACTGATTCATTGCGAAACTCATATGGTTCTCTGTTACGGTTGTTAGCGTTTTTTGATGTTAACCCAGCGCGGTCTCATATGGATCACCACTCCAATTTCCGGGGCTTGGGTCACCGATTTCCATCACTGAACAGCAGGTCTTCGTGACTATGCGGTTTACCCCGTCTGCTGTTCATCACTCAGAGGTGCGTAATAATAAAAAAATTGCTTTGGTGAACATTCGCTCACATTCCACCTATCAATGATATCACCACAGTAACTTTTACCATCAAAATTCTCGTCTATGCGGCCTAAGTGTTTGTTGTTTTTTCTCTCCTATTCTCTCCCTTCCTCAGCTTGATCTTCGCCAACGAGAGGAACGTGGTGTAAAATTGGGCTTGGGCGATTTTGTCTTCTATAGTTTATTGATCGGTCGAGCCACTTTGGACGGAGATGCAATCACTGTGGCCACTTGCTATGTGGCTATTCTGATCGGGATGTGTGTGACCATTATTGTGCTGGGGATCACACGACGCGCTTTGCCTGCCCTGCCAGTATCAATCGCTTGTGGTATCCTATTCTATTTTGTTACCTCACTTGTGGTTTCCCCGTTCCTCGAAGCGTTGGCGATGGAGCGTATATTTTTCTAACTTTCATCCCGTTGCCCCTAACATGGCTCCTCCACGCACACACTCGTTAAAGCGCTCGCGTATCAACAATTGATCTTTGTTTCGCAAAGATTTTGGGGTAATACCGAAAGCTTCTAACTTTCCTTGCTTTTCGGTTCACGTGCGTAACTGGTTTAAACCCCTCATTGTGCAGCTGTACTTTTCAGAGAAGAATCATGTGCACACGACAATTAAGTCTACATAACAATAGTAAACTGATCGCCTGTGTTCATTTGCTAATTGACCGTTCCTTCACAATCGGACACAAATGATTCCAATCATACTTCCGTTCTTTTCCGGATGTCCTTACTTCTCATAACTGTTCCGTTTTTGCATATACTCACGAGTTATCATGCATATACGTCTGCATACATATTTCACTATCACTCCTTGATACCGGTTACTATGAATTTGTGAGTAATACGTTGTGTTTTAACTCCCATCTGAATTATGTTTAACCGGAATCTGACAGCATTAGAACCCCTCTACTTTATTTAAGATGTCTTCTTAAGATGGTCTGTTTTCACACCAAGCAATCCCGAAGTTCGTTCGGGGTTAATCAATGTGTGACAACACTTTTGTTGAATGCCCAAATGGAAACTTAGTTGGTCAATTCGATTCCCGTAAATGGTCTTATACATATTGTGGTTTCAGAGTTAAATCACAGCCTGGAACAGACTCGACTATGGAAAAAAAACACCAGTTTCATTGTCCTCTTTCAGCAATTTCGCTTTTGTGTTTGAACACACTCTGTCTGCTTCAAGCCTGCCCCTAAACACTTGCATGGCAAAAGCAACACCATCATCATCGTAGCATACGCTTCATCTGTGCACATGTTTGATGCGAATAATAGCGATATCTACGAGGAACTCCCGCACCTCATCCGAACCCGAAACTGTGATACAGTTGTGGTCTCGGTGCGTCGAGCGGAAAACTCCGTGCATCAGAATATTGTCTTAGCGACCGCTGTGACCTTTTCTATCAGTACCCGGATATCGGCACTTAGGTAATCTGGTTTTGCGTACCCTACCGGTTGTTCCTGACACTAACGATGTTCGGTCTGTTTATCAATGGATGGTGTCTTGATACTCTAATTCGGCGGTCGTGCTGAACAAAAAAATTAATCACACCTTTGGCGTGGTTCAGTAGAAATCTATCGATTCTATGGGACCAGTTTTTTTAGTCTGGATCCACACTAAACGTAATGCGCTAAGCAGTTCCATTTACTTGTGGCCACCGGAGGTTCTCTGGTTCTAAGGATTTAGTCAATTAGAGAGGCTAGGAAACATGTCAGTTCGTATCACGTTTACCTGCTTGAGGAATTGTACGATGCGCTGCTATTTTTGACAGTACAACAGCCTACATATCCGTTGATCACGGTTCCGCATGAGATTCGCCACATTCGTGAATGGAAATAGCTTTATTCAAATGGATCATAGAAATGTTTTGAAGTTAAAATTCAACTTGCTTGTGGTACTCTTTCTTCGTTTAGTACGTAATTCAGGGGAATTGATCAGCCACGCATCTCTTGCCTCTGCGGATAACTGCAGTGTACGCTCGGAGATCCAGTCTCTCTTGTGGCGAAGAATCTCACCTAACTGACTCAGCACCGCTTCTCTGATAGACGTTTTTATTGTAGACCACTGTGCGTCGACAGTCGAGTAATCAAAGAAAGTTTCGGCTATGTTGGAAGCGGTTGCGTCCAGCAGCGCCTGCCTTCTTTCAGATCGTTCCAAGAGCGCGACATTGAATTCGCCCAGGAGACGAATCTTCCGGCGAGTAGTCAGGTGGATCTTGAAGCGGGCGCGTACAAGGGTATGGTCTGTACCGTTCCAGTTTCGGCGCCGCGATAGGAACTGCAGTCTTCTACCGAAGAGGCCCAGCGAGCACGTACCAAAATAAAATCAATCTGATGTTCTGTTCGACCATCATTTGCGTACTGCGTGGACAGGTGTTTTCTGGGGTGCTGAAAACCAGTGTTGGCCACGACCAGCCGGTTAAGGTCAGCAAATGTGACTTGACGTTCGCCATTTTCGCAAAGTTGACCAAAGCCGAACTTTTCCAGAACATGCCGGGTATCTTCGTCTGATGGACCAGTGCATGCATTCCAGCCTCCTGCGATAACGAGGATGTCGCGTCTCGGACTGCTGTTCACTGCTTCTTGAACTTGATTGTAGAAGTCGTTTTTGATGGGCTCTTCCGCATGTAACGTTGAAGCACATACAGCGATGACAGATAGTTTAAACGGCTTTCCCTTGAAGCGCGCTATGGCAATCCTGGGAGAGATTGGTTTCAAGGAGATCATGGCATTGTTGGCGGAGCCGCTCACGGCGATTGCTACCCCGTGTAAACCGGAGTTTTCCGTTGGGCCGCTGTGGTATAACCGCTAGGTTGCTTTGCTATATGGTACATTGATTAGTTTTGTGCCACAGTCGGACTTCGGACAGATAACAAATGCCTACTTTGTAGTCATGCAGTGATCACATCGTGATACACTGGCTTCCTGTGTCTAGCAATGTTCTAACATTCCAGCAGGCTACATGGATGCTGGATCTGGTGCGTAGATGGCTTAGGTTCCCAGCTTGCTCTTTTGTCACCCCAGCGACCGGGCAAGCGTCGCAGAGCGCAGAGCAGAGTACGCAGGACTAAAACACCCGTGGCGGCGACGTGACGTTTCACTAAAGTTGAAAAGTTGCGTGTATTGCACCACCGTACGATCAGTTCTACTTCAAGGTTGTGAGACCTTGAATTTGCGAGTAGAAGACATCCGTCGCCTAGTGGTTTTCGATAATCGATGCCTACGCAGTTTGGTCCAGGTTGGATGGTGTGAGCGGGTTAGTAACTCAGAAGTAAGTCGTCCGGTGTTTTGGAGTAAATGAAACAAGAACTCACTATCGTATCGAATCCAGCTCAATAGGCTCCGTTGGTTAGGACACGTTTTGCGTATGTCCGATGGTCACCTACCACAGCGCGCCTTGTTTGCAGTGGCTGTTGCAGGCTGGAGAAAGCCACATGGAGGCCAGCAGATGAAATGGAGACGGGGCATAAAGAAATGCACAAAGCGATTAAGTAGAGTAGGTGTCCCTCGTCTTCCGGGTTGGGGTCCCAAAGACTCCGAGACCGCATAGTCGGAGACACTGAAGGTCATGGCTGCGAACCGACATCAATGGCGATCATGCTGTAACTTCTTACCAGACCAGAATACTTGAAATAGTATGTATGCACAGTTGGGTTTTGTCTGTCTGTTGACCATAGAGTTTCGTTTTCTTTTCCCGTTCCTAAAAGTAGGTCCAATCCCTTTCCTCCTTACACATTCTCCCTTATGTTGTATGCAATATGAGTTTGGCAACGATCAATGAAGTTCGCTTCACTGTGTTGCGCTGTACAAAGATGATGATAATGAGGGCGCGTCGCTATATATATATCGCAACCGGAGCCTCTGGCCAGCGCAAGCCTGATCCGCAAGGCGGCGGGGCGGTGTGCGAAAACCACAATCCATTGGGAGCCGGTGTCCAGTTCATCGGATCATACGCCTTTCGGAAGGGGTCAAACGTCCAAAGTGCCCAATGGAGCCAGTGACCATAGCTGCAACCGGGAAAGTGGGGTGTTGTTCGTACGCCTCCTCTTGGTTTGTTTGGAATCAAGGTTTTTGGCCAACTCCCCTGGGTGAACTGACAGTGGTTCACCAACCCGGTTATAGCCCCGGGTTTCGGCTTTTTGTCCTCTCAGTTTGGTGCAAAGCACCCGTCACGAGAAGGCAGTGAGGCTGTTTGCGACGCTTGGTCGTATGGGAGCATTTCGCTGGGTGCAAGGGACAGGTGACCAGCCGCAACCCTAGACACCCACCTCCGACCATATTGAGGATTTCGGAGGCTCGGCGCCAGTCCAGGATTCCCAAAGTGTCTGTGAATTAACATTTCTCAGAGTTTGCCCTACTCGTAAGGGTAGGCAAGTAGCAATGGCCTTATTTGGTGGCGGGCCACATTCGCGCACGTTGCGATGCTGTCAGCAGACACTGATGACATTTGAACGGGATATCGGTTGCCGCATCGCGTTGTTCCGAATAGCGTTATGAACCACCAACACCTCTCATCGCGAAAAATTATCACGTGATGTATAACCAATTCGTTCTGAAAATTGAAGTAAGGGAAGACATTAATCGGAAGGTTCTTTTGGTTTCTGGCCAAATATGAGCAATGATTTTTACAGACTCGGGTTCACGAGAGTGATGTTTCCCATTTGAAACATTTCAGACTTCCAAGACGATGTTCACAATCTCCACTCTTTACCACGAACCTGTTTCATACGATGTGGTCCTTGGGGAAGTGTTCCCCAAAAACGCGTTCATTCTGTTCGTACTACATCTCATTAGTTCATTTTTCCCGTACGTATCAGTATTGTTTGTAGTCCCTTAATTGCGCGATATATGGGCTTATTCCCATTCGTGCTCAACAGTTTGTGATCGGAATATGCAGGCGTGAATCAACCAAATGTGTATTCAAATTCAACTCACAGTTACTTGCGAGTATGGATTTGAGATAAATGATATTGATTTAGACTGATCATCTTCACTTACCATGGTCAGTTCACACAGTCAATAATACCGTTGGGAACCACTGGACTCAAGTTTCGCTTTTCTTAGTGCATATTCACCATCCCTTCCTGGGTTTGAACTCCGGGCATAATGCATGAAACGCATGTGTGTGTGTACCACTGTGCACACCGGGCTGACCGGAATCCCTTATTCATCTTTGTCCACGTGCCGTCTTTAATCATGATCGAACAGTTAATTGGGCTCGACAGTTCAATTCTAACCTAGTAGGATTGTTGTTCCGAGATAGCCCGAACCCGAACGGAGGTTCCTTTTTGTACGTGGGCTTTCGAATGAAGTTAACGGACGGTAAACTTTCGTTCCTTCAGTTGCTGTCAAGCCATACTCATTGACTGAACATCGCTGAAGAAGACCTTTGAACACACATGAA